AGCACATACTGCCCACATCTAGACACGCAGGTGGCAGGGAGGGTGGGGATTGGCAAAATGCTAATTATTTCAACCCTGGCCTCTATTTTAGATTTTCTACTGCAGCTATTGGTCTGTAGCCATGGGGATAGAAAGCTGCTGCTCAAACTTGAGATGTCTGAGACATGGAAATAGGGAGAAAAGACCTGTTCCAAATATTACTACTCAAAGTTTAAACACAATCTGAAAGCTTCCTTTAAACACGATACCCATTCGCCTCTTAAGGGCTAGTTTGGAAGTCTCTAAACTCTTTACCTTAAGAAATCCATGTGTCAACTGTTTGCCTAAATGCCCTTATTATCCAAAGTTAATGGTTTCAAAATAATTAAGGGACAGTCAGATAATCTAAACCACACAACACAGAAAATTCAACTGACTCTCACCTCCACATCCAATATATTTTACTATTCTTTCAAGAGTTCTGTTTTTTTTTTTAAACCTCCAGGTCCAACGTCAAAATACTCATTTCAAACATTTCCACAGCTTCATTCAAACTAATTACATTTGAATTCATTTTCCCAAGTGAACCCAGTTTACTGGAGTTGGACGCAGTTTCCACGTGGGAAAGATGCAATCCCTCACAAAACACACTTCTGAGGAAACAACTTTGGATTTGAAGAGTATCAGTTTTACTTTGCACTAAAAAGATGGCAAAAGGCAAAAGTTGATAATGATGTGTCATGTAAATATGCATTCATGTCCAACTAACATGAAATAACATGGTTTTAGTATAATCTGAAATCTTCTAAAATGATATGCATTCAGAAAGCACAACAGAATCATTTTCCATACCACTAGCAGCAGGGGACAACTGTTATTATATAATTAATATACAACACAGTTGTATATTAAAAGGCAAACTTTTTTTGCACCTCCCCACCCCACACACGCACTGAAAACAAGCAAAACAAAAAAACTTCACAGCCCAATTTTGGAATATAGACTTTAAGATATGTTATTTAATAATCTGAACAAACTAATGAATGTCTTTCCAACTCTCTCAATTCCTCATCTTCATGCTGACAGCAAGGAGAAAAAGACTCAATTCCTTTTTTCTTTTTTTTGCTGCTATTGGTTAAAACGAGATTTGAGGACTGACCTTGGTTTCCTATTTTCCATTTTACTCTATCTACTGAACCAAAGAAAAGCAGGAGTTGGTGACTGTTACTGCTAGCTATATTATTTAGTTTGCACCTTTCAAGCCACAACATATTTATGATTCTTTTAGTGATGCCTGGATTTTCTTGTTTTTACCAGAAACATCCAATCCTAGCCTAAAATTTGTTTGTGAGATCTGATATGCTGGTAAACTAAAAAACACATGTTGACAAGCAACTTTGTTTTATGTCAAAGTGTAGTATAAAAATCCTAGCGGCTCACTAATTCTAAAAAGGTGCCTCAAGGAGTCCAGTTGCGACGTAAGGAAAGACAACCACCTTGGAGCATAACGCTTAAGTATTTCCTGATTGAGGATGCTGCAGATTTCATTTGGTGGTACCATCACTTTTCAGCTTTAAAAATGTAATGGCAATTTTCAGAAAGCCACATCATCAGCTACCTGAAATCCCCCCCACCACAATCAGCTATGCTACCGCCCATCCCAATCCATACCCAATAGCACAGAAGTACAACCGTCTATTAGCATCAGAAACAATTCATATTTAATTACCTTCATCCAATTTGATTCCATTAAGCCAACCAGAATCAGCGCAAGATGTCAAACCATGATCCCATATATCATTTCTTAGACTAAAGACTGATGGAGTCAAGTATTGAGATTCGCTAAGGGGGTCAATTGGGGGAGGACTCCCTATCTCCATTGCAGACAGGTAAAAACTTGAAGACATCTGAAACACCAGAAGAATCGCTAACACTTTAACCTGGTATTACCATTATCAATTCTACAGAGTGCTACGCAGCCTGTACAGTACTGTAATAATGACTCAGCCCCACTACAGTTTGTTCTACCAATACTTAGGAAGTCTTTTCACTTAGACCTAGATACGGTTTCTGCTCCAAATTCCTAACTCACTGTCAACGTTTTAAATATAAATAACAGAGTTTCCCAGCAGTTGAGTATGGGCCAGAATGTTCTAAATTACATACAAACAGCTACAATTTTAAATATTGTGAAGAATGAACTCCAAAAGGTGTGGGGGGTGGGGCGGGGGGAATCTTTTATATCTTAGGGGATGAGGGCAGGCAAAATGAGAGACGTTTGATTTTAATATATGAACTTGTACAGTTAATCTGTAAGATGGGTTAGGCCCTCTTAAAATCATGCTTAAGCAATATCCTCTTAATACAAAGTTCAATAATGACATATCTGGGCGTAAGTAAACGTTGATTTCTACTTTTTTAAAAGTGTCTTTCATAGTTACATAAATCAATCACTGGTTAACAATGTATTACTTGAGACAGCAAGCATAGTTACTAACACCACATCTTCCAGACAATATTCACAAAGAATAATTACACCAGTGTCAGACCTTTATGGTGGCAGGGAGACAGTCAAAGCGCTTTTTCTTTTGAAGAAGCATGTTTAGATAAAAAGCAAATGACAAATTATCAAATCCTTCCTTCCCTCTCTCCTTTTTCAGCTCTGTAAGAAAACAGAGATTTGCGGCTTTTTATTTTTTCATGCTAGTATCATACAGTATCACTTCAGCATAGTGGCTCAGCTCATGGGATTTAGAGTGGTCAACTCACGGCCCTTGGGCAAGCTAGTAAATACACTGAAGCCTGAGTTCCCTCATCTACAAAACAGAAATAATAGGACCTAACTCACGATGGTCCTTCCAAGGATTACATCTAATTAGATGACCCATGGAAAGAGCTGAGATTCACGCCTGGCAGTAAGTATTCAATAAATAATAGCTATTATTGCTATTAAATGTGAGCCAACACTTCTAAAAGTCAACATAGGCAGATTACTTCAGCCTCTATAAATATGTCAGTAAAGATCAATAACCTAACCAGCTCACAATCATTCACGTGACTTAGGTGAGAACCATGTAAGTTAACTTTCTCACAAGAAGAAAGGGCTAAACTTTGTTTCATTACTTACATTACCTACTCAGCCCAGCCTGACAGCCAAAAGAATACATTCTATATTAAGATCCCACCTTCCTCTAGCGAAGTCAAAAGGACTTCTTACAGCCTCACCTGCACATCCTTTCTTTGCCCCTGTATCCCAAAGAAACACGTCTATACTGTGGTTTTCTAAACTGCAGGCCTCACCTCCTCCCTCTTTTAAAATCGTGATAGGTTGGTTAAATGTACTTAAGAAACACTCCAACCCGACAATTCTCTGCGTCCAGTCTTCCACAACCCTCAGCTCAGAAGTCACCTCTGAGAAATTTCCCCATCTTCAGATAAAATTAAGTCCCCTATACTTCAAAGCATTTTGGGTACACATATGCCCCAGTAATTACCTTATAATTAACTAATAATGTCTCCCCCAATAGACTGAATTGAGAGCAAAGGAGTGTTGTGGTTACAGGATCAGCTCTACACTAAGCACAGTGGTTGGCACATAACTGGTGCTCAAGAAATGCCATACTTTAAACCAGATTCTCTCCTGCTGGATGCCCCACTTCAAACTCTGAACATAAGGTTGCTCTCAGTAGAGCAGGCTAACATGATGGACTGCTGATTACAACACTAGAAAACCTACTCATCAGCTTCTCCCATTGGAGAGGTTCCCGGAACCCAGACTCAATTGAGCAGGATTATGCACCATCAAAATCAGTGGGAATTCCCAGCACACTACAGAAGGTACCTTCTCCTTCAACAGGGTTGTTTGAAAGCCTGCAAGGATGAGTTTTTTATTGGAGGAATCTTCCCTGGGTAACTGAAGTGGAAATACACAAAGAATAAATGCCTTGATTTGACTGAAAATGGTTCAAAAACATAAAGAATTGGAAAAAACAAGCTAGTTCTTGATTCCTGAAAAACAGTGGCTCGTGAAAAAGAATGAACAGGAAGCAGGGGTGGGTGCTGGACACTCTTTGTTTCAATAAATAAAATCCTTTTTTCCTCCCTACAGCCCAAACGAAAAGGCCAACACACCAGGTCCACAAGAGATGCTCAACAATCTTTCCTTCCAACAAGTACAAACTAAACTGCGTTTCCAAAAAAACACTACATTGGGAACCTCAGCCACAATGAAAAGTTCCAGTCACTAACAGTTTAATTTTTTAAAAATCCAACATTTACATTGGGTGACCCACAGAGAACTTGCAAACTTTCTTTAGTGAGGTACTGCTACCTTTGCAAAGAACGTAACTTGGGAAAAAACAACCTGGAAACGTAAAGAACTCCACAAACGGTGACTTTAGTTTTAGAGCCATAATTCCTATCATAAACATCCTATTGAAAAAAAAAATTAACAGTTGCCTAAGGAAATCTTTCATTCTGGAAGCAAAAAAGGAAACAAACATGAAGCAGAAAGGGAATAACCCCCAAAATAAAGTTTAAAAAAATAATAATTCAGTCCCCCATCCTTCCCTCTCTGGTGAAGTATGTGATTTATATAGCTTTGCTCTGCAGAAATCTCGTTCTGGGCAGCTCAAGGAAGGAGCCGAGGGAGGGAGAGAAAGAGACACAGGCACAGAAAGGAGAGGAGAGAGAAAAAGAAAATGGCGCAGAGACTAAGTCCCGACCGTCGACAAGGCGACTTTCCCGGGAGGAATCCCGGCCCGGAAAGACCGCCCGAGGCCGGGTGGCGGACGACACCGGGTCTCCGTTGCCCCCTCTTGGGAGGGCCGGGATCTGGGGGAGCTGGGGTCCCCGGAAAGGGGGTCAAGAGGCGGCCCGATGGGAACAATGGGGCCGGTGAGCGAGGAGCCGGGACTTAGTCTCTGGGACGCCATGTCTGTCCTCTGCCCGGCACCGGCAGGGCGCGGGGGAGGCGGCCGGCGGCTGGGGGGCCCCGGGGTCGGGGCAGGGGGCACACTCACCATTCAATCGGAAATCCGCTTCGATCTGGAAAAAGAAAAGGAGAGAATATCAAACAACAGCCACTTTAACCCCTCTGGCGGCGAGCGCGCGCGGCTGGGGGTCTGGCCCACCCTGCGCCCCCAGGGAGGACGGGGTCCCGGGGGTAGCCACGGAGGGCAACCATCCCCCCTCGAACTGTAACTTCGCGGCCCTTGTTCGCGGCCTAGCGAGCCGATCTACTCCGGCGGGCGGCACCTCGCCGGGGGCCCCGGCCTGTCAAAGCGGCCGGGCCGGGGCTGGGGTAGGGGCCTGCGCCGGGGGTCGCGGGACGGCCAGGCTGGGGTCCAGGGCTGCCGGGGTCAGGCCGGGCCGTACCTGGGAATCGTTGTGGAGGTGGTCCCCACTCATGTCGGCCCGGAGCGACGAGCGCGGCGGCAGGCTAGGCGGCGTGGGGGAGACGCAGACGGCGAACCGGCCTGTGCGGGCGGACGGGGACCCCGGAGCCTCGAGGAGGCGCAGGTAAGCGGCGGTGACTGTGGGCCCGAGACTCCAGAAACGGCTGAGGCTGCTACCACGGCGGCGACGCTGCCTGACTGCCGGGCGGGCGGCGAGAACAGACCCCACCAGTTGTGTAACAGCCTAAGTTCGCATTTGGGCTCACTGCGCCTGCGCGGTCGCTTTTAAACAACACGTCGACGACGTCAGCGATCGCGGAAAGAGGCCGAGGGTTGCGGCCCGCCCCCTCACGGTTCGCCTGACGGACCCGGCTTCGCATCGCAAGCCCCGCCTCCGGACCGTGCGCGCGCCGCTGTGATTTGCATAAGGAGCCGACTCCTCCCACGGCGTCCCACCCCAAGCAGCCTCCCCTTCCTCTCCCGACGCCTTTTCTCGGAACCCCGACCCCTCTGCTAGGCAGTGCGCAGGCGCCACCCGGGCACCGCCTCCGGGCCAGGGCTGGCCGCGCAGCCACGTGGTGGGCCTTTAAAGGCCGCGGCGGGACCCAGGCGATCTTGGGCGAGCTGGTGTCCCGCGTTCCCATCTATTTGGAGCAGCGAGTACCTTGGCAGCCGGGACCCCAGAGGTCTCCCCGGCGCCTCCTTTCTTGCTAAGCCGGCCCTGAGGCTGCCTGGTTGGAGGAGTCCCCTCCCCAGCCTTTGTCCAAGCCCTCCAACTTCTGGAGTATTTCACGCCCACTTGTTAAAAATTATTTTAATTTTTCAACCAACCAAGGGTCCGGTTTAGCCCCAGTTTTCCGCCGAGTACATGTAGCCCTGGGTCACCAAGGGTCTGATTTCTTTGGTTCATTCTACAAATACTTACTAAGCATCCGCTATGAGCCCAGGAATTGTGCTGAGGGGAGGAGGAATGCAAGAGACCAAAGGGAACTGAACCTGTCTCTATCCGCGGCTGTATCCCTAGCATGCTGGGAGGACGGAGCAAATGGGGAATAGAACTACCTTTTATAGAGCATCTATTCTGTGACCAGCTCTGAATTCTGAACAACAGCTCTGTGAGGTCGCCTGTTTTACAAAAGGCAAACTGTCTTAAAGACAAGGCACCAACAACCACCTACCTTGCATCTATACCTTGCATCTATAGTTGGATGCCTCTCAAGCTTCTCTGGGGATGAACTCAACTCTACTTAGCTAGAAAAAGCCCCATCCTGACACCTTCCTTTCCCTCATTTCCCACCAGTCCCGCTGATTACTTCTCTTCACTCCATCTACTTCTCTCTGCCGCCCATAAGCCTTTGAAGTCCGCGTTCTCTTGCTTGGATTAATACAATACGCTGGCCGGGGGTGGTGTCTCACACTTGTAATCTTAGCACTTTGGGAGGCTGAGGCTGGCAGATCACTTGAACCCAGGAGTTCAAGACCAGCCTGGACAACATGGCAAAACCCCGACTCTACAAAAAAAAAAAACACAAAAACTGGCAGGGCGTGGTGGCATGTGCCTGTAGTCCTGGCTACTCGGGAGGCTAAGGTGGGAGGATCACCTGAGCCAGAGGAGGTCGAGGCTGCACTGCACTCCAGCCTGGGCAACAGAGTAAGACGCAGTCTAAAAACAAAAACAAAACAAAACACAAAAAAGCACTGCACTCCAAAACACTACACTCTTAACGGATTGCTGCTTCCATTCTTGGCCCTCTCCTAAACTGCATTCCAACAATTACCAAAGTGATCTTTTCAACATGCTAATCGAACCATTACTCCTTTGTGGATATTGCCGCATCTATTACCACTTTCACTATTATTTTTAATATTTTAATTGATCTCCTTTTTATTTACCTTCATCCTGTTATCTGTGAAATAGTATCTATGAAATCATTTGGAAGTAAATATGAAAAATGTTCATCCAGTGGACCATCAGTATCTTTATCACATCTAATGGTAAACATTAGATGTGTTTACCACACCTTGTGAATGCTTCAAGATCAACCTAAATATCACTTTTTCAAAGTGACTTCCAGGCACACTACTGACCCTGCTTCCACTGGCTGACCAAGGGTGCCTTATAGGCCAGGCATGGTGGCTAACGCCTGTAACCACAGCACTTTGGGAGGTCAACGTAGGTGGATCACTGGAGGTCAGGAGTTCAACAACAGCTTGGCCAACATGGTGAAATCCTGTCTCTACTAAAAATACAAATATTAGCAGAATGTAGTGGTGCACACCAGCTATTTGGGAGGCTGAGGCAGGAGAATTGCTTGAACCCGGGAGGCAGAGGTTGCAGTGAGCCGAGACCGCACCACTGTACTCCAGCCTGGGCTACAGAGGGAGTGAATCTCAAAAAATAAATAACAAAAATAAAACAAAGGGTGCCTTGTAGTATCTATCTCCTTTGTAACACTTATGACACTTGTTATTAAGTTACAAATGGAGTAATTGGTTTCCTGTCTATTTCCCCTATAGAAAGCAAGGTCTGTGAGGGGGTGGGGGGGAATCTTGTCCATCTTGCCTACCACTGAATTCCCAGCACCTAGCAACAGACCCTCCTACAGAAGAGGTGCTCAAGAAATGGGCAAATCAAAGCAGGTTACCCTGCTTTGGTTAGGAGCACACATTTGGAAGTCAAATCAACTTAGGTTTGAATTCTGCTCTGCTGTTTGTTACCTGTGTGATCTCAGGCAAGTTGTCTAACTTCTCTGAGTCCCAGTTTCCTTGTCCATTCTGTGGTGATCATTGTGGGTCTTTAATAGACTATCAAAAAATAATTGTTTGAGGGCAGGCACCTAGTAAGTGCTGAGTCTTGGATTCATCCTCAGGTTGGCCTGACTCCAAAGCTATACTCTTTCTCTGAAGCAAGCTGCCAGAGCCAGTTTTGCCTTGCTCTTGGTGTCTCTTCTCATACTCTTCCCATCTCAGGATCAATCCCTGGCCAGAAGATGAGGCATCTGCTTGCTGCAGTGAGTCCAAGATAATTTGAGGACTGCCTTCAGGAAAAATGGTACATCCACACTACTCCACTCTCCCAACCCCCATTTCTCAGGGAGAATCTGCATTTGCTTTTTTTTTTTTTTTTTTGAGACAGAGTCTCACTCTGTCACCCAGGCCGGAGTGCAGTGGCGCCATCTCGGCTCACTGCAACCTCCGCTTCTTGGGTTCAAGCGATTATCCTGTCTTAGCCTCCCAGGTAGCTGGGATTACAGCCATGTGCCACCACACCCAGCTAATTTTTGCAATTTTAGTAGAGACCGGGTTTCACTATGTTGGTCAGGCCGATCTCGAACTCCTGACCTCATAATCTGCCAACCTTGGCCTCTCAAAGTGCTGGGATTACAGGCATGAGCCACCGTACCCAGCCTGCATTTGCTTTCCAGGTCCCTCCAAAAAAGACTAGGTAGGCATGAAAACAGCATAGACTTCACAATGGCAGACCGAGGACGTCCCTGTGCACAGACATGGAAATATCCAGGCGGTCTTGTCACAGGCTGAACTCTGCCAGCATGTGTGCCTGGCAGTGCTCAGAGGTTGACTGACTTACTCTGTCTTACAGAGGCCACTCCTGACTCCTAACACTTCAAACCCATGTCCCCACCATATGGTAATTGAGGAGATTATTGATAGTGCATGGACAAGCATTTTAATTCTAATAGATATGTATTCCAATATGTATAAGAAAAAATGACCATTGTTTTACGGATATAACTGGGATGAGGCTTTTTAAAAAAATGATTGATTTACATAAAAACATATAGGAATAGTGCACAGAGGAGACATATAAGACAAATTCCAGGAAGGTTATAGGCAAACAAATGAGGTTTGGGAAACACTGCTTTAAATCAAGACTGTTCACTCATGGACCATCCCAACCCTTATAAAAATAACTAGCAGGTGAAAACTGGTAGTGTAGGTCTGTCTCCAAAGTATGCATTGGGAACAGTGGACGGTTTATAGATAATCCACTAAAAGAAGAGGTCCACATACAAATACATACATTATTATATTTACAGTTAAACAGGTTTTTTCCCCAGGCGCCTTCTCAGGGTCTTCCATATGCAAATACTTATGTGACTCTTGAAAAGAGGGACTAGGCCGGGCGCGGTGGCTCAAGCCTGTAATCCCAGCACTTTGGGAGGCCGAGACGGGCGGATCACAAGGTCAGGAGATCGAGACCATCCTGGCTGACACGGTGAAACCCCGTCTCTACTAAAAAATACAAAAAACTAGCCGGGCGAGGTGGCGGGCGCCTGTAATCCCAGCTACTCGGGAGGCTGAGGCAGGAGAATGGCGTGAACCCGGGAGGCGGAGCTTGCAGTGAGCTGAGATCCGGCCACTGCACTCCAGCCTGGGCAGCAGAGCGAGACTCCGTCTCAAAAAAAAAAAAAAAAAAAAAAGAAAGAAAAAAAAAAAGAAAAGAAAAGAGGGACCTGGAGTGCAGCATCTCCAAAATGTAGGTAAACCCAGCCAGGAGCGGTGGCTCACACCTGTAGTGCCAGCACTTTGGGAGGCCGGGGGGGGGGGCCGGGGGGTGGGTCACCTGAGGTCAGGAGTTCGAGACCAACCTGGCCAACATGGTGAAAACCCATCTCTACTAAAATTACAAAAATTAGACCAGGTGCAGTGGCTCACGCCTGTAATCTTAGCACTTTGGGAGGCCAAGGCAGGTAGATCATCTGAGGTCAGGAGTTCGAGACCAGCCTGGCCAACATGGTGAAGCCCTGTCTCTACTAAAAATACAAAAATTAGCTGGGCATGGTGGCACACACCTATAATCCCAGCTACTTGGGAGGCTGAGGAAGGAGAATTGCTTGAATCCCAGACGCAGAGGTTACAGTGAGCCGAGATGGTGCCACTACACTCCGGCCTGGGTGACAGAAGGAGACTCCATCTCAGAAAAAAAAAAATGTAGATAAATCCAAAAACACTTTTTTCCGGACTACTTCTTGAGACTTGGACTTTTTGGGGGTGGTAGAGAGGGTGCACCATTCCTGGAGGTACTGCAATCCAGGTCAATGTGTAGAGTGGACAGACCAAGCTCCTATTCCATCTCCTTGCTCCAAAAATCTATTTATTATATTATCCTCAGATAGAAAATGTATCAGATATTAAACTGGTAAGAACAGATGCTGCACATGATCTTAGCCAGAAGGCCAAGAAGCAATAAGACTTGAACTTTTTGAAATGACTGAACCTCGAGACTCTTGATCTAGGTGGTCACCCAAGATTTAATTCTTATTCATTTGATTCTGACTCTCTTAGGTTAGTTATCAACCTGGCCCAACTCTTGTCTCCCAGAACGGAACACCTCTAGGGTTGTCTAAGCAACTCCTGCTTTTCAGGAACCCATCCATCTGCACAGTTTCCCCGGACTGCAAGATTATGGAGGAACAAGATACACAAATACACAGATGTGCTGCTACAGTTACTTGGACCAGGATGGGCACTCGATCCAAGCTGAGCCACTCAGGTTAACTTCCTTAAGGCTCTAGAATTCAGAAGAGGAGAATGGTTCCATCTATCTTCTTGTGGATAGATCTGTAGTATGTAGATTAGGGAGCTGCTCCTGGCCCTACTTGCTGTCAGAAGGGCCAGAGAAACCTGGAGATGGGGGAGGAAATAGGAGGAAGTGGGTGGAGGAAGAGATAAGAGATAGAAGTCCCTGCCGGGGCTTTG